TTGTGTGCCGCCATAAGATACACATTGGGCCTCAGGCCGACGTTGAAATTCATTCGCCATTCTTCGGAAACCCTGCAAAAGGATCGTTGTGAGTCAGAATCCACTCCATGGCACTTAGCAAAAACACAAAGTTTAGGCTTAGATTGTGAGGCTCTGCACCAGATTTCAAAATTAAGGCTGATAGGACAAAGTCAAAGAGGTGAAAAGCAGTCACGGGATTCACTCAGGTTCACTTTTCTCAGACATCTCTCAGTAACTGCTTCAGAAACAGCGTAGACAAAACCTGGTGAGAAGCCCAATAGAGAGCCAGCGCCAGGCAAAGGTCGGGACGTTCGGGGGCGGGCCCATTCTTCATTATTGCCTGTGATTGGGTTCCTCCACCCAAGGGGCGGAGCTTTGAAGCACAGCGCTAGGAGCTCTGCGAGGCTAGGCGTACGCGCGTAGACGTCCGCTTCCCTGCTCCGTGCGTCTTCCGCCCCGCCTCGTCGCCTTCCCTGCCTGTGATTGGCAGCCGGGAGTACAGGGGTGGGGCCTAGGGGCGGTGGTGCAAGCGCAGAGCCCACTGTCTTGTAGGTTCAGTCCTCCGCTTGGTTCCGCTTGTCTTGTACGGCTCGCCTAGTGTTACAGCCATGGCGGCTTCGCTTTTGTTGCGGCAAGGACGAGCTGGGGCACTGAAGGTAACTGAGAAGCCGGCCCGAGTAGAGCTGAAATGTCAAGGTTCCACGTAGGGGCCGCCACGGGGTACCAGCCCCAAGTTGACTTCTTCCAGCTGGTCTTTTCGAACCGTCGACCCCTGGACCGAGGAGGAGGAAGATTGGTCGGTGGCCGGTGCCGGCGGCCGTGAGGCCTGACCAGAGTCACTCTGCGGTCATTGGGTTGCTCTTGTACCCCTTGCAGCCCCCGGTCAGCTGGCGGGTCACCCGGTCGACCCCGAGGTCGTTCCTAGGCCTGAGGCCCATCACACGTAGTGGATGAGCCAAGCGAGGCAGAGCACGCAGTGGGGTCCACCCCTAGCAGGAGCCTGGCTCTTCCGGGGATCCTTTGCGGGGGTCTGTGTTCCCCCAAGGGGCTCTGCTGGGTAGCCGGGGCAGATGAGACTCCAGTCAATATCGGAGCATTTTCACTTCGTATTTAACTAAGAAGTGAGGGAAGTTTTAGGTGCCTGTTTGACCCGGTAACTTACCTCAGGAAGCTGGCTTTCGCCCTGACCTGTGAAATGGGAGGGAAAGGAGGCTTTCCCCACGCATAAAACACTGTTTAGGATCGAAAATAACTCTTATTACAAAAGTAGTTACTACGCATTGCAAAATCATTTAAATTATGGATGAGAGGGAAAAAAATCGAGTCCACTGTTTACTCATTGAAACATCTAAGTCTGAACGATTTTTTCCACTGTTAAAGATGTATAGATACGCATGCTTATAATCACAAACATGAAAATTTAATTTCATGTTTACACATATACACAGTAGGCCTATATTATACTTGTTCAGCATTTAGAACAGTGCTTAAGCCTTAGAAAATATATGCTGAATTAATACTGTATAAAATGTGTTTTCACTCACATTGTAAGCACTTTTGAAACGATTATCCATCTAAAGAGATTTTATGGCTTTGCTTTCTTAAGGAGTTCTGGTAACGCTACCAGAATTGGGTTATGAATTGGGATGTGAGTAACAAGGTCAGCAGTTCGAAACTACCAGCTGTTTTCCACAGGAGAAAGATGAGGTATTCTCCTGTAATCAGAAACTCTGTACAGGGTCACTATGAGTAGGAACCGACTTCATTGCACACAGCCATACCACCACTTTCTTAAGTATAGAAAAACATTTTACTGAAACACTTAATACTTGTAAGCTAATAATTTGTGGGAAGTGCTGTCGAGTCAATTCCAACTCATCACTATGACCCTGTATAAGGTTTCCTAGGAGCAACTGGTGGGTTTGAATTGCCACCTTTGCAGTTGAAACCGACCTTGCCATCCAGTGCTTTATCCTACAATGCCACATAATAAAAAAGGAGCTAATTAAAAGCTATGCATAGGAGAAAGTCTGGTAGGAAAAGTACCCAAATGTTAATATTGACTGTCTTTGAATACAGGTGTTTTGTTTTCTTTCAGCTTTCCATATTATAATACAATTGCATAAGAAAATTGTTTTTTTTAAAAAAGCCATTTTTTATGGAAAACAACACTAATAGCCATTATCAGTGGCATTGCTTAAAAGAAAGTACATATTTGTCATTCTGTTTTCAGACTCGGCTCCAACCAGGGGTGCTTCGAGGACTTGCTTCTACTGTTTCTCTTGCTACAAAATCAGGAAAGAGTGAGAAGGGACTGCCACCAGATCCCAAGAAGCAAAGTACACCAAAAAGTAAGATTTTAATATCGGCAGTAAGGGAAAGAATGATGCAAAGTCAATGAATCTGTCAACCTCCCAAGTGTGGACAGGAATTTTACTAGTGACATGGCTTTTGATTCATGTTCAGCACCTACCTAAATTATAATCAGACATAAGTTCTGTAATAGATTTTAGAGTAAGCATATCAGAAAAATACTAATCCTTGACTTATTATTTAGTCCCAAACTATTTCTTTGTGTTTTTCCTAAATGCCCAGCTATAACTTGGAGCAAGAGTTGCAGAGCATAAAGGCTCACTGCCATTTAACCGTAACCAAACTAGTTTCAGGACCTAGGTGTTGCTGTGGGATAAACTTGAGACTGCTAACTGCAAGGCAAGGTTGGAGATTCAAACCCACCAGTCACTCTTAGGGAGAAAGTTAAGGCTGCCTCCTCCTCTGAAGATTTGCAGTCTTGGAAACCCAAGGAGCAGTTCTACTCTATCCTAAGGGTCACTATGAGTTGGAATCAACTCAGTGGCCATGGGTTTGGTTTTGGTTTTAAACTAGTTGCCACCAAGCCAATTCTGACTCATGGTGCCCATGTGTATGTCAGAGTAGAACTGCTTCATAGTGTTTTCAGTGGATGATATTTTGGAAATAGTTCGATCACCATCCTTCTTCTGAAGCATCTTTAGGTGGATTCAAACTACCAACCTTTCAGTTAGCAGCCAAACCTGCTAACTATACAACCTAGAGACTATGTGGCTTAATGTGGATCCCATGGTATAAATGTGAACTCTACCATACTTTCCTTCCCCTGATTTTGATTTTTTGCCAGTGTCTCTGAGATTCCTCTGTGGTTTCTCAGTCTTTGCTTGGTCACAGTTGCAGGCATCCTTTTGATGAGTTTGTGGAGAGGGCGTTAGGAGCAGCAGTTTTCCATTCTGACTCACTTTGATGATCCATGATGATTTGCTTCCTACTCTTTTCACAGTCATTTTGACTTTTATCGCCAGTTTTTTTATCTCATTTTTAATCCCTGATTTCCAGTGTAGAGTATTCTCATTAAAAGGAAGTTGTTGTTGTGTGCCGTGGAGTCAGTTCCGATCCATAGCGACCCTGTATAGGGTTTCCGAGGCTGTAAATTTTTACGGGAGCAGAAAGCCTCCTCTTTCTCCCGCGGAGTGGCTAGTAGTTTCAAACTGCTGACCTTAAAGTTCACAGCCCGATTTGTAACCACTACGCTACCAGAGTAGGAACTGTAAATGCTTCTCATCTGGGTATTATTTTACTTTCTACTCCTTACTGATTATTAACAAGTGGCAATGATCCAAGTCCATTGCTTTAGTCTTGATGGAACCATAGTTAACTCTTGAAAGAGTATATAGTATGTATAATATATGTCTCTGTAAATTTAATCTTCATATGGGGTTTTTGAACGATGGTTTGTATTTGATTTTATTTTTGTCAAAGTATCTTTTTCTCCATTTGAATGCTTGGAACTGTTTTGAGTCTTTGGGTTTTGCCCCTTGTTGTATTCATAATAACAGATCATCTGTAAACAGGTTATTAGGAGTCCCAACCCCTAGGCTCCTCACACAACCTCCTAATTGCGCCATCCAGGTGCCCTCTGCTTGCCCAAGTCGACTGGAGGCCCCAGTGTGGTGGAAACAGTCTTTAATTTTGTATTGTTCTGGGGTCACTTTTACATTTAGCTTGCTTCTGGTTTCCTTTCTTTCTTTCTTTTATGCACCCATTAATATTTCAATATGTATCTTAAGCATGTTGCTGTTGTTAAGTACCATTGAGTCAGTTCAGCATCATAGCAACCATGTATAGGGTTTACGAGGAGCAGCTGGTGGGTTTGAACTGCTGACCTTTATACTTTGAAGTCCACTGCTGATCTTACAACACCATCCCATAAAGACTTCTTTTTAAAAATACATAATACTGTATCCCACCTAAAAAATTTAACATTAATTCATTAATATCATTAAATATGACCTGGCATGTTTTTGATAATTTTTTAATGTCTACAATGAAAAAAGTTAAATTTTGTTTCATATATGGCACGTTTTTTGGCATTCTTGCTATGTTTACTCGTGAATGATTTGTTGAATTTTGTTATAATATTACTCTACCCCTTAGTAAATACATCACATCTGCAACCCCACTTCATGGCAAATTTCTTTGTTTACATGATTAGGTGATAGTGTAGGTTTATGAATTTGCATTAAATGGGTTTTTAAAATACCATGACAGAGCCAAAGCTTCTCAGACACCCTGGCCCCCACCATTTGAAAATGTATTTGAGTGGCAGTGGCTTATTTTCTTCTGTGGCAGTTTTGTGTGTAGCGTGGGAGAACACTGAGTTTGATGTTGGCTCAAGTCTCTTGTGCCCCTGACCATGGCAGGACCTTCAGGCTTCTGAGTCTTGGTTCCTTCATGCTTGGCTGGGTGCTTTTGAGACTGGGAAAAGACCTGTGTGTGTGCTGTCATTGTCACTAGTGCCCATGACATCTGTATGGCCCAATTTTTAAAAAAATCTTTGCAAAGAAAAGGAACTAATGCTTCTACAGTGGTGGACACATGCTGGCCTCCCTGCTTCCCCTCAGTGTCAGTGACTGGCAGATGCTTTCACCCCTGAGGGCAAACTGCCAGGTGAACTGCTCTCAACTGTGTGTGGCTAAGGAAGTTCTAGTGGAAGTTCCCGATCTGTTTGTGGACAGACGCTAAGTGCTCGCCCTTTGGGACACATCTCTGGTCAAAGGGCTTGCCATCAGGGGCAGGACCCCAGGGTTCTAGAATGCCTCACTGAACTTGGGATGCTGGCTTTCCAGAGCCCCTGCTTCCTTCTGGGGGAAAGAGGCTGACTTGGGTCTAAGAAGCTGTGTTTTCAGAGGTGCACCCTCTGGGAGAAGCGTCTGGCTCTCCAGTCTCTAGGCTCAACTTCGCAATCATCAGTAATACTTCGTTGATGAAATAATTCCTGTGTAGCTATTTAAAGAGTATGTCAAGAAACCAAAGTTAATTATCTATTCCAAGTCTTTATTTCAGTTTTAAAAGTCAGGCAACTCTGGAAATAGGGACTTGATGTATTTGATTATAGGAAACAAGTGCCAAGCATTGTTCTCAGCACTTTCCGTATATTCACTTGGCTGCTCTCAAACACAGCTGAGTAGGTAACTGTCCCCGTTACTTAGATGAGGCAGTGGCACTGCCCTCGGTCACACAGCGTGTTGGTCGTGGTGCCTGAATTTTAACCCAAGACTCCAGAGTCCACATGTTGTCATCCTACGTTGTCATTGCCTTTGAAAAATCCTGATTCTTATGCATTCATTAAAAATTTTTTTTAAATAACCTTATAGTCACACACTGGCAAAGGAAGATTTAATTTGCCATTTAAAATTTGAATAGCTCTATTCTTTCATGTTATATTTAAATGCACCTTTGTTTCTGAGTATGCTTTGTTTCTGAAATAAATACTTTATGACCTATTGATAAGATATGGAAGTATTTTAAGGTTGTGGTGCTGTAGGATAACCAGTGAACTGCTAACCAAAACCTACCAGCCGCTCCTTGGAAACCCTATACAGGATGCTATGAATTGGAACTAACTCAACAGGACGTGACAATAACAAGAGTCCAATTCAAAGGAGCTCTCGTAGCTTAGTGAGTTACGAGTTGGACTGCTAACTGCAAAGTGAGCAGTTCAAATCTAGCAGTTCGAATCTTCATGGGGGAAAGATGAGGCATTCTGCTCCCGTAAAGATTTATAGCCTGAGAAACCCTATACAGGGTCACTATGAGTCAGAACTGACTCAACAACAAACAATAATAATAAGCCACTTCAGATATATAGCCATGTTGCTTTTGCTATGAGGATCACTATAAATGTATTCATGCCCTTGCTTTTCAACAGAGGTGAAGAGATGATGAAGGATTCAGGAGAAGCTCCTCTCTCTGCTCTTTCCTATATTTGTAGACATGTGGTGACACAATAGTTAAGTGCTTGGTTGCTAATGGTAACAGGAATTCAAACCCACCAGGTGTTCTGTGGGAGGAAGATGTGCTGGTCTACTTCAGAATGACTATAACCTTGAGAGACCCTGTGAGGCACTTCTCCTCTGCCCTGTAGGATTGCTGTGAGTCGGGTGTGAACGTCACAGCAGTGGGCTAGGATTTTTATGTAGGATTGTATCATCTCTGAGATACTATGAATAGCCTGAGGAAGTGTCCTTCCTATGCTGTGAGCTATGCCTACTCAGACTAGTCTGATTTAAGTAGCATTGCGTTTTTAATACATTTGTCATTCTAGTAAAGTCACTATCAATCTAAATCATTGTGAGAATACACTTAACTCCTCACTTACCAACTATCTCATCATCTAATAGTTTATATTTACAACTGTAACTATAGTAAAAAATCTGCTCAACTATTTGGCACATGAATGGCATAAATCTGGCAGTAACTAATGCTGAACTGCAGGTAAAAGATAACCCTGGCTGTGATGGTTATGTGTCAACTTGGCTGGGCCATGATCTCAGTGGTCTGGTACTTATGTACTGACGAAATTTGGTAGTTATGTAATGATGTAGTCATCCTCCATTTTCACCTAACAACCTGGTCTTGGAACCTAACCATGTCTGTTAGTGAAGAATAGGTTTATATTGGCATTCCTCCTTTAGGTAAATGCCTAGGCAAATGTCTTAATGAAAATAAACAGGGTGTGAGCTATTTGCCCGTTATAGGATAGCCCTCTCAACTAAGTGACATCATTTCTGTAATATTAACTGCAGACTTGGTGTGGATGCTGTGACTTTGGTATAACAGGTACCACTTGTTGTGGCAGATCACCACGACTTCCTTCCTGGGTCACAAAAAATGAGATTGGGCCTGTGCTGCCCAAACCAAACTCCCTGCTTTCAAGTTGACCACCACCTGTTAACCCTCTAGGACAAGGTAGAGCTGCCCACAGGGCTCCAAGGCTGTAGATCTTTATGGAAGCAGACTGCCACATCTTTCTCTCTTG